CTCAGATTAAACTTTTGATCTGTCATCTATGTTATATTACGAATAAAATATTGACATTTGCCATCTCCACATCATTGCATTCAGTTTTTATTCACAATTTGTTTAGTGTCCCAACTCTTTTGGAATCTGGTTTGTAGATGAGGCTTCTTATGGATGTTGAATAGTTTGTCAGGGCTTTCTGTATGCTTACTGTAACTATTCTGAGCTAATCTAGTATCTGTAGGGGCGTCTGTTTTGTGTACATTAATCTCTTGCCTGCTATTCCCTCACAAGACCCAAGGTTTAAAACTGAGACCTCGAGAGTCATTTTTATCTAAGGGCAGCTCGAGGATTAAGAGTTTCAAACATGTGCACTAAGTGTTGACCTTAATATACTCTCAAGTTTTTATGTTGGTTCCTCCAACAGGCCAAAAATACAACTATTCAGCTGAAATCATTTTAACAGGTTTGTTCATTTCTTCTGCGATCTTCTGACGTTTGTTTTGTTTTGTGCAGCTGTTCTCCTTCAGGAATGTACTCTGAGTAAGCTGCTGGAGAATCAGAGTCAGCAGAACCCAAAGACTGCCAAAACCTCCTCCTGCACCCTTACAACAAAGGTTGTTTCGGAATCATTCCATCATTTCTTGCTTTCTGAGCAGCAGCACGGACAATGGCGTAAAGGCAGTCTGCTTCTTCTCCCTGGAGTGAAGAGGAGAGTAGAGGAACGCCGGGGGTCAGAACCGCTGCCCGGCACCCAGGATCTTGGATCAGTTTGTAACTTGGGGGACCATATTTTGAATCATCAACACATGGAGGGCCATGGACACCACCTCCACCTGTCCAGCTGCCATGAATGTTTGGAACTGGAGAACAGCACCATCTTGTCTGTTAAAAACGCCTCTGCAGAGAACATTCCTGACCTCCCTGACGATAACTTCACTGAACTGGACAGTATGGATGGGTGTGTAGATGAACTGGAGTATGATCCTAAAGAGGGATGTGGCCAAGGCACTGACTGTACACGTAAACCACCAAATGTTCTGGTGTACACAGGTGGCTGCCAGCAGCGCTTCCAGGTAGTTCATCAACTATTAACAGAGTGTATAAATGATGAAACCAACATCATCTACCCCCTCCTGCCACAGCAGGCACTAACTGATCCTTGGCTGGACAACACCAGGCTCCTGGTCCTGGCAGAGGAGGAACCTCTAACTCCTGAGCTTCAGACACGTTTTCTCACCTACCTGAGTGAAGGTGGAAAAGTTTTGGGCTTAGGCTCCACCCTGTGCCCAGCAGGTCTTAATCTGGAAATCAGGGAAAGACAACAGCTGCAGGTCAGACAGCTGGTTTTTACCAGGGAGGACAGCACAGAGCTGAAACTGAGCATCATAACATGTGAAAACGTCTACATCAGGGATCCTCAGGGTGGAGGAGAGGTGGAGCTGTGGGGGGAGCTGCAAAGTGACCTCCCACAGCAAAGGGACATGGTTATTGTTAGGGTGACCCACGGCGCTGACGGAGGAGAAGCTGTTCTCTGTCAGGTACAAATTTTATTATCACTATTCGTTATTGTCTTTGACGTACATCTAGAACTTTCTGAGCTGACCCAATTTAAGTCGGCGTTTCTTTATTGTTTTTTATTTTTTATTTTATGATGTACACAGGGTCCCAGTTACATCCAACAAAAAAATGTAAAAGAAAAACAGTAAAAACGTCAAAGATATGAACTAAGAAAAACATCAACTAAATATACACTAAGCACTAACAGCATAAAAACATTACATCTAACAGCAGCACGAACATGAGTCTGTGAGCAGATGAGCACACATGAACACAGCAACATGAAACAGATCAGCAGCAACATGAAACAGATCAGCAGCAACATTGAAACATATCAGCAGCAACATGAAACAGATAAGCAGCAACATTGAAACAGATCAGCAGCAACATGGAACAGATCAGCAGCAACATGAAACAGATCAGCAGCAACATTGAAACTGATCAGCAGCAACATGGAACTGATCAGCAGCAACACAATGTGATTTTTCACAGTGATTATTCTGGTTAGAGATTCATGAGTCTAACAGCCTCAGGGTAGAAGCTGTTCCTCAGTCTAGTGGTTCTACACTTAATGCTCCTCAACCTCCTTCTTGAGGGGAGCGGGGCAAAAAGTGTGTGTGCTGAGTGAGTGTGGTCCTTCATGATGCAGGTGGCCCTCTTCCTGCATCTGGAGGTGTAGATGTCTGTGATGGTGGGGAGACTGACTCCACAACATCTTCTGTGCAGCCTTCACCACTCTCTGCAAAGTTTTTCTTTTTTTAAGACAGCCAACACAGCTAAGCAACCGTAGCAAACTCAAAAATGGCCTTGTTCAGTTTTACAAATATTGAGCTATACGTGGGTGTAGTGGTTGCAGAACGTCACCTCCAACACACATTCTTGATCAATAAAGTTGGTATATCAGTACGCTGCGCCATATTGTGGTTGGACTTGTTTGAGGGAGTTTTCACAATGTGTGGAAATGTTTGCAGGTGTTCTGTCTCCTCCCACAAATCTCAGTGCATCTGTGTCACATGGATTTTGACTTGTTTAGAAACAATTTGCAACACAGCCATACTGTAGTCCGTAAATGTTTGACAAGTTATTGTGAGCATCTGGATGGAACCTCTCTTGAACCCGTTCTAATTTAATGTTGTTCTAGTGCTACAGCTGTATTTTGTTGTTTTGTAAAATGGTGTATGTATTTGTAACTTGACACTACATGTCAAGGATCATGCTCGGTAATCTGGGTAAAAAAATCCAGCAATGTTCAGTCAGGTCATCTGGACAGTTTCTTTTTTTGTGGTTTTGATGTTTTTTCCTGGATTATTGAGCATGAACCTTTATCTTAAACTACTTTGTCTGTGGCTGCCTGCGAGGAGAGGGCGGCCCCAGAAACCATCTAATCACCAGCAAACTGGAGTTCACTGCTTAGTGGGGAAACGGTTTATTTGTGACTCCTCAGATTGATGAAGCCTTCCAGATGAAGTGTGAAACGTCTCAACAAAAAAAGAAACCGGCCAGATGACCTGACTGAACACTGCTGGACTGACACAATATGCATTGTTTGCACTTGTAAAATAAAGTTTGCATCCTAGTGTTTATTCTAAAGATGTTCCTTTGGACTCATTGGAGGTTCCCCCCAGAATTCTTCTGTTGACACCTGTGTTCATATTTGACTGGTGTACTGGCCCAGTACAACTCCCACCTACTGGCCCAGTACAACTCCCACCTATCACTCTTCCTGAAGCAAGTCACACTGACAAGATGAAGTGCTTAACACTACTCAGGTGTCCCCGCCCCACCAGGTGTCCCTCCCCACCAGGTGTCCCCTCCCCACCAGGTGTCCC